AAACAGACTGGTTACAGTAAGCGAGATCGTGGCTCCAGTGCTTTTTCAGACATGATGATAGACCGTGGTTTGGTGGATGCTGGGTTCTCTGGGTCTCAATACACTTAGACAAATGGTAAGTGCCTGGATAGAGTTTTGACTAATGCTACAGTTGCAGATTTCTGCCGATAGTTTACTATTACACATCTGAGTTGGACATCATTTGATCATTCACGTTTATTGCTACACTGGATTAATGATGATGATTTGGGTCCGAGGCCATTTTGATTTCTCAATATGTGGATCAAGCACCATGATTTCTTAGTCTTTGTATCTCAAAAGTGGTCACTCCCTACTTAGCTTGCAGGGATGGTTGTTCTCTGGGAAAAGCTCTCTAGTTGAAACACGGGTTACGTTAGTAGAATCGACGAGTATTTAGTGATGTATTTTAACGGGTGAGGGATGCTGAGGCAAGGGTTAACTAAGCAAAGATTGACTTTAAGAATGATCCTACACTGGAACACCATGATTTGCTACATCATGCACAGGCTAATTTGAATCAGACCTTAGCTACGGATGATGGTCTTTGGAAGCAAAAGGTTGGGTCACGATGGGCGTGTAAGGGAGACCACAATACTCGATATTTTTCTGGGATGGTCCAAGGACGTTGAATCAGATCTCGTATCAGGACTATCATGACTCAGGCAGAGGAAGATCTCTCTACTCATGTAGATATTCAGAGCTCAACAATCTCCTTTTTTCAGGATTTATTATCTACTCTATCACAGTCGTTGGATCCCATACAACCTAAATTTATATCTAAGATACTAACGGAGGTAGATAATTTGGTACTGAATCTTGTCTCGTCGATTAATGAGGTTAATTTTAGTATTGATGCTGACAATGTTGCTGGCCCGACGGATTCTCTTCTTTGTTTTACTAGCACTGTTGTAGATGGACAAATTATCGACCTATCAGCTTGTGTATGGTGTTTAATAAGCTTATCACTAAGCTGTTGAACACTAGATTGAGTTTATAGCTGTCTTGTATCATTTTTCCTCAACGGAGTGGTTTTGTCTTCGGTCACCTTATTGGGGATAATGTTTTGTTGACTCAGGAGCTCCTCCATATGTTGGATGGTAAAGTGCATGGAGGAAATACTGTGCTGAAGCTAGATACGGCAAAAGCATATGATTGTATGGATCAGGGATTCATTTACTCTATACTAGGATCAAATAGTGTATCACAAAGTATCGCTTTTTAGTGTTCCTAAATGGTTGTTCATGTGGCTTCTTCCCATTTAGGAACACTAAAAAGAAGTCGTGAAGCCCATCCTGAAATCCTACTCATGATCCTCATGTGGGCTCAGACAGGGAGATCCTATCTTCCCCTCCTTATTTATTTCGTTGCGAACTACCTCTCTCGCCTAATTACTCAGAGGTTTCAGGCATATCATGGAGGTAGTACCCTTATTTTCCATCTTTCTTTTGCTGATGACATGATTATATTTGCTAATGGTTAGAAAAAGGCTATCAGAAGGGTAATTGAGTGTTTGGAACACTATAAGGAGATATCTAGCCAATTGGTAAATAGAAAGAAAAGTGGTCTTATATTGCCTCGATGGGCATCGAATATACGAATACAGAGGCTAGTGATTTTGAATGGGTTTTCACATCAGCAGTAGCCATTCAGATATTTGAAAGTCCCTTTGTTTAAAGGGGCTAAGAGGAGATTTCTTTTTGATGACCTCATTATGAAGATCATGAGTAGGATTTCAGGATGGGCTTCACGACTTCTTTCTCCTGGTGGTAGGATTACTTTGCTGAGATCAGTTCTCCCCTTTTCACTATTATACCTCTTTCAAATTATGTAGCCTCTCAAGGCTATACTTAAAAAGTTGGAGACCATATTTGCATGACTCCTATAGGATTTGAAGGATCATGCACGGCGCTTACATTGGTGAAGTTGGAAAGAAATGTGTTTTCCTACTGATGAGGATAGATTAGGCTTTAGGAGATTACAGTATATAGTGGACACATTCTCCCTGAAGCTATGGTGGCTTTTTAGGTCTCAGAATTTTCTTTGGGCTCAATTCTTGTTGGACAATTACTGTAAAGGGACACATCTATCACTTGAATCAGTTCTTCACTCGGCCTTTCCTATCTGGAAGAGACTGAAGAGATTTGCTCCAAGTGTTAAGCCACATATTGCGTGGCACCTTGGGGCAGGTAAGATTTTCTTTGGCAAGATGTTGGATAGGTGATTCCACATTAGCGTTCATCTTCCCACACAGACAGTACACATCTGCAAGGATGTAGGATTTTTTAGAGGAGATTGGGCATGACTTTGGACCATTACTATATACTTTTCCACCATTTATGGCAGAACAGATTGTGTCCATTCCGCTTTGTATCGATGCCCCATATTGCATATTTTGGAAGGCTTCATCAGATGGTATATTTACAACCAAGTCAGCTTGGTAGTTGATTCACTCTAGTAGGCCAATAAAAGACTTGTTTTGCCTACTCTGGAGCCCAATCATACCTACCAAATTTTCATTCTTTTGTTGGAAATTATGGCAAGATTTGATTCCAATGGATGCTGTTATTCAGAGGAGAATAGGCAGTCATCTGGCTTCTCGGTGCTAGTGTTATTCTGAGATTGAGACAATCGGTCATATTTTCACTGGTAACAGTATTTCATATCAGGTTTGGCAGCATTTTGGTCGTTGTTTCCAGATCCCTATGATTGCTGGTAAGAACATCAGACAGAGATTTCTGAGTTGGCAATTTTCTAGACAGTTTGCACAGAGTGGGCATATTCATATCATTATTCCTCTATTGATCTTCAAGTTCACTTGGATAGAAAGGAATGATGCGAAACATAGGGATATACCTATGAGACCTAAACAAATCATTTGGAGGGTATATCGTGTGATCTCCTTCCTTCACACTGGAGGATTGTTTCGACTACTACATTGGCGTGCTGAAATAGCTTGCTCTATCTTTTGGTATTTCTATGACTTCCTTCTGCTTCTCTTTCCTACTATGGTTTGGTGACG